TCTATCTTTGTGTACGTGTGGAGTACAGCTATCCACTGAACAATGACTAAAAGTAAACTAGATGCTGTTATAATCTGCTGTGGAAAAGGTCTATAGAATTAAATGGTAAATATGGAAGTAACGGGAGATGAAGGTTCTGTTAGGTGGCTGATTGTTGACTATTTGAACCTTGATTTATGTTTCAGAAAAAGTAAAATTTTCTTTTCCAGGTTCCAATACTTTTGTTGATTTGCAATCAAACTCTGTTGCCTGTAATTCCATTTCTGCTCATAACTGCCCAGTGTCTGGTCAAGTTAGTTACATAATATAGTGCTGGTTCACTTGTATTGTATTGCACCAACAGTGTCCTATAACATGGCATGAATGAAGTTACATGATGTGGAGCTAATGTATCATCATCATTTGAACCACTATTTGCATGTTCTTGATGTCTTTTAATGATGTTACTTCATCAAAAGATGAATGTAGTTGCATGAGCCGAGGGTCTATTGTAAGCAACCTCTCTACCTTCACAAAGGTAGGGGTAAGGCTGCGTACTCACCACCCTACCTAGACCCTACTTGTGGGATTACATTGGGTATGTTGTTGTAGGTAAGCACATTAAGTGTTGTTTCTTTTTGTTATCACTTATGACCAGCAGTCTCTACATTTTGCACAACATCGTCTGACCTTTGTGTTTTAATTTGTGTAGGATATGCCTAGTAGCCTGTACCATCCTGCGAGATTCCTTACAACACTGTTAAGAGGTGGTGACATTAACAGAAGAGGCGCGGAACTACTTGGAGAGATGCTGCAGGAACAAAATTGAAGGGACATATATCAAGTATTGGTGGAGGAACAATTTTGTTTATTAATTGGTCTGTTCCTCTCAAAATGAAAAAAAGGTATATTATTATGTATATATATATGATTTTGTACCCTTTTTTCAGCCTCAAGACCCAATTTTAATAGCCTGCCAACTGCATCACTAATCGTAAGATGCAGAATCAAAAGATTGAACTTAGATGCTTAATGTATGTGCACCTGCAACAGCACAATCGTTGTCAAATGTAAAAAAAGTGACTTGCTTTAATAGTTCCTGAGATTCCATGTTTTTGGTGTTGCGGTGTGAAAGGCTCTGCAATATGTGAAATGGAAACGAGGAGCTGGGTTTGTTGGGTTGTTTTCATGTGATGTTGCTTTAGGAATTAGAATCTTCGGTCTTATTTTAGCTTACCAACTCAGACAAGACCCATGCTCTCGTTTCCTGTGTTTCTTCTTCAAGAAGACTGGCCTGCAGCTTCCTTGTCAGTAGTTTTAGACATTTTCCTTGGTCTGCTAGGCTATATGTTTATGGTTTGATAGTGAAGATTCATATAGCTGACCCCAATTAACTTGGGACAGAAGCATAATGTTGTTTCTATTGGCCAAACATCTGTGATTTACTGGTAATTTTAAAGGTTTCTAGGGAAAAGAATGTGTATAGCCAATTTGTGTTTTAATTCTACTTCTTGAGTGGTTAGGATGAGAACTAGCTTTTGTACCTTACCAATCAGAAAATCATGAAGCAAGGGTAAGAATTTTACAAGTTAATCTGAAGTTAATGTAAATAGCTATAGCAGGCAGAAAGTGTGTAAGAACACCATTGAATTGGAATGTTTACGAGCTTGTCGCTCAGTACTGTTTAGCAGGTTGCGTATGTCATATGGGCCTCTTGGTTAGCTGCTTATATAGCTTTCATACTTGTCATTTCATATTAGATAAAAGTGGTCGCTTAAAGGAAAGGCCAGCTAGCACATTATAGTTTACGGTTTAGTTCAAATGTCTCCTAAAATACAAGCTGTGGTACTGCGTTAATTTCTTTGAAAATTTTAGGTGGTTGGATGGGTTGTCACTGTTAAATGATTAGATTGTTTGGTGCTTTCGTTGAAAAGAAAAGAAATCAGAAATATCTTTTAATAAACAGAATTAATTACTCATTCAGATTATGTGAAATCATTAGTAGTAGTTATGAAATCATAATCGAGTGATTGAAATGCTAATTTTTAGGTAGCACGTTTCTAGTTCTCCCCAGGAATAGTAGTTAGGTCGTTGTCCAATAGGTAAATTGAATGCGAACGCGCCATTTTTAATCAACTATCTAGATTTATCTATGTGGGGTCTGGGGAGAGTGGGTGTACGACCTTATAGAGAGACAGTTTTCCAAAGACCATGAGCTTAAGAAAGGAAAATATATATGCTTAATAGTATCAACCTTCAAAGGGAAAAAATGAATTTGCATATCCAACTTCACATTCTACACTCACTGTCCCAACATTTTGCCTAAAATATCTTTGGTTATATATTAAAAAAACTACCATTTCTTTACTTCCTACCCTAAATACATAGAGCACAATTAGAAATTTTAATTGGTCTTATTAATTGCTAACACACGTCATACATGTTCTAAAAATTTGTATTAAAGAAAAAGTAGTCGTATTAAAGAAACTATGTGAGTCTTTATTCAGAAAACAGTACTAAATAAATAAAGTTGTATAAACCGAACAATTGAGACTTTACAACTTATATAGAGTGATTCTTCTTCTAATTTTATGTATATTTTACAAATAATTAATAAATGAGCTGTAGTGGACAGGTCTAGAATTAGGAAATGCTTATCTGGCGACTAGCGCCAATCATTGAACTTAGATAGGAAGGAGGAGGACACTGACTTTTATAATTGTAATAATGTAATCTGTCTGCATATTCTACAAGGAATTAAATACAATCGAATCTTTTTATAACAATATTATTTGTTTGGAACTGTTATAGTAAAATATCGTTTTAGAGTATAATTGTTGTATAGATGTATAACTATATTTACGTTATTTCTCTAGTTATTAGATCTAGAGGCAGAGCTAGAGTGTCTCTGATAGTTTAAAACATTGAATAAAAATTGTATAAAACTTAAATTCAATGACAATTACATGAAATGCACCATTTTAGGAGGCAATGGTCGCACTAAATATGAGCTGGAGGCTGAAGAATTGGTTGAGTTAGAATGATTTAAGAAGCATAGCCAAGTATGACTAAACACGTGGGCATGTTACTATTTGTTGGACTAGTTAGTAGTATACATCAATATGGCATTGTCCACATGCCCAATCATCATTCACAAATCATGCTAATTAATTGCAATTTGCATTTCCCATTTTGTAGTATTGTTTTGAAATAGTGGCCCTTTACACAAGCTTACACATGCCTTTGATGTCTATATACTCACATTAACTCAAATTCTTCAATACTATGAAAGAGATGTCTTCCTCTCTCATTGATCTTTATCATCCCAAGTGTCATACTAAGATTTTCTTTGCTGAAATAATGCCTTATCAAATGTGTTGTGTTGCCACTTACACGTGTCAGACTGAAAATGACTCTTATTTTATTAAAAAGATTGACATCCTCAATTGTTAGGTGTTCAAATTAATTTAAACACCTAAGGCACAAAAAACTCCATGTTTAGAACATGTCAATCATATACTTCATACTTGTTGTCTGCGCCTTAGCCGAATTCTGCCTTGCTCATGTCATTACTGACTCCTACGCACAAGCCTATAGCAGAGTCGGAAGTAAACATACTTAAAAGCTAAGGAGATTCAATAACAACCGTATATAGTGTAATTTGTTTACGAAGGAGGTTCGGATAAACTCCAGTACCCTTTCTAGCCCATTATACATGCTAACTGGCTTTGATGCATAATGCCTTAGAGTTCGTTTAGATTGGTTTAAAAAAGTACTCCCTCCGTCCCTTTTTAGTTGTCCACTTTAGAAATGACACACAGATTAAGGCAACAATGATTAGCACAGTGAAGTTACAATTTTACCCTTATGACAACTTTTCACTTCAAAATTACAACCACTTATTTGAATTAAAGTGAAATAAATTGGAGGGAAACAACATACACTTTTACAATTTTCAAGAAGTGTAAATAAGGGTATAATAGGAAAAAAATTGTTGTCCTTTCTTGATTTGTCAAAATGGACAACTAAATAGGGACAACTAAAAAAGGAAATATGGACAAGTAAATAGGGACGGAGGAAGTAGCTTTTAAGTTAAAAATAACAAATCAAATTGAAATGACTTATAAGTCAAAAAATAAAAAGTGGTGGAGACTTAACTTTTAGTTTCTGACTTATTTTAAGTCAGTTTTTACCTTGTCAAACACTTCACAACTTATTTTAAGTTATTTTTTATATTTGTCACACTTCCAAAAATTAAAAATTGACTTAAAAATAGATTTGACTAACTTTTAAGTCAATCCAAACACCCTTCTAGTGTCCCTTTGCCGTGCCAAGTTGTACATCCAACATTTACTAAACTACCTTACCACCTTCAAGGTACTTTTGCTTTGTAACTTGGCACCAAATCCCATGCCTTGACATATTGACTTTTCCAAACCTCTTTTTAGTTGTGTACTTTTTCATCAGTTTATTTATGCTCCTAATTTTCTGCAAACCAGACACCCTCAATCAAACAATAAACAAATGTATCAAAAAGAAAGGCAACTAATAACAAATCTCGGAATTTGAGGGGAAACGTCGAGTGGTCCTACTATTCCAACTATTTTCACCGACACCTTTCTTCACCCTATTCACTACATTAAACTAATCTTCATTATTGAACCCTCCATGGCCCCCTTAACCCGTTCTGCCGACCACGAATTCAGAATTTGAAGTTTATAACATCAAGCTACTATATACGTAATAGTCCCACATATCCTACTATGGTCCACCCCTGTCTACAGATTTTGACTATCAAATTAACACAGCTGTTTTCTGGTGAGCAGGCACTTGCCCCTACTCCAATCATGTGTTTAATTAAGTCAATGCACCCTGTTTAATCATACATATTAATATAATCAACTTGACACCTTTCATCATCAACTTCCATTGCCGGCAAATTTTTCATTCCGGTAATAAAACAGATGAAAATCAAGATTAAATTACGATAGCGATATGTCTGATTATAACAGGAAGAAGAATCATTGAAATGTAAATTCAATATATGATCAAATAACACATACAAATACTCTCTATATTATATTAAGAATGAATATATGCTGCTACTCCCAATCCTAACTGAACAAATTTGATTTGGCAGATTATGTATATATAACAAAAACCAAATTGAACTATATCCTACAAACATCCATTTACCAAAAAACAAAAAAAAACAAAGAAATCAACAAGCAAAACAAGAGGGTAAAGGAAAATCACACCATTTCCTTCTACCCTAAAATCAAAGTGCTCATCAGAAAGTCCATTTCCAGATCTTGATTCGAAGATCCACTTTGCATTTCACATTTGAAGTAGTAGCTTTAGTCGGAGTTTTGCCGGAAGGAACAGTAATTTTAATACCACTGCATTTAACTCGAATTCCAACTTTCTTCGTTTTCAAGCTTCCAACTTTGACTTTAACTTTTGTATCAAGTTTTATCTCCAATGGCAGACTGCTCTTATTCTTCAATTTAGATTTCAGATTAGAAATCGCAGAATCGTCGAGATTTTTCCCTGAACTTGACACTACAGTCTTCAACGTCGTTGTGTTTTTCCTATCATGCATAAAAGCCGGTAACGATCCGTCTCCGATATCAACATCGTTTGAATTGAACGAGATGTTAATTGGATCGTAGAAGAAAGAAATCTTTTTGTTAGGATTACGAGCAACAACGGTGAGATTGAACTTCGACGCGAGTTTCGTAGAAGTAAGATTGAATTGAGAGACTTGAAGAGTAGAAACAGAGAACGAAGGCCTCTGAGGACGGTAAAGCACCCAGAAAATCGCACCGGCAATTGCAGCAAGTAGAACAATAGTGATTATGAAAAAGGTAATGAACAGGCAACAACAACAACAGCAGCTCCGTCGGTGTTTACGGCGGGGAGGCGGCATAGGACGGTAAGTAGGTCTAGCAGCGTTGTAAAGCTGAGCTTTGTTCGCCGGAAACGTCTGATTAGCTCCGGCGGCGGCGGCGGCGGCAGGAGCGGGAGCGGGAGCAGCAGTGCCATTAGGGGCAGCTGGTTTAGCAGCTGGGTATACTCTATCCGCCATAATAGGAACTTTTGGAAGGAAAAAAAAAAATGAAAATTAGGAATTAGGAATTAGGGATTAGGGTTTTCTTTGTGTGTTATATATAGAGAGAAAAAGGAGAATAAATTAATGGTGAATTTGGTGAAGGTGAAAAAGGAACAACAATGGAGAATTTTGAAGAGACAAGTACCTTATAACTAATGATCAAATTATAGGTGTTATTCACCAACCAATCAGAATCACCACACGCTTTGATTAGTGAGTGTTTAATCAGGCACTAATTATGGTCATTAATTATTTGTATTATTTTTATTGCCTTTTAACTGTATACGCGGTACAGTTATTCTAATTTATGGAAAGTACTTTATGAATCGACATTTAAAGATTCGTGTTGAGATTAGAGTTTGGAAACTATTGGTCGTAATTTATATTCCGTTAATCTCTACTTGTCCATGGTACTATTTTGGGATGTTGACAATATTTGTTCAGTTTATAAAATTAATGAATAATTTATCCATTGTGCCTATTTTACCTTTGCTATTAAATATTTTCTTTATTCTATATTAACTGAATTTGTAAGACAATGTACACTTATAAAGAAAAACATTGAATCCATTATTGTCCTTTGTGAAATCATAAATATAACATTGCAAGTAGAACAATTTATCTCTTAGAAAATATCTAATTTCACTAAAGGAAAAGGTAAATATGGATAAAAATTCAAACATCTATTTTAAACTTTAAACAATTCCATTGTTTTGAACGATGAAAAAAACCTCAAAAATTCAGTTAATATGAAATGAAAGGAATATTGTTTATTTTCAATTTTTGGATTACTTATATTATATTTAATAAAGGTGATTTAGTAAAATTACCTTTATCATTTATGGCTTCTTAATTCATATATCAAGTCAATAGTTGACAACTATTGTTGAATATATGAACTATTTGGGTTACTCATATCGGAATTGTTTGAAAAAATAAATATCGAAATATCATATCTAAGCATGTAATTTTATTATATATATATATATATATATATATATATATATATATATATATATATATATATATATTACGAATATATTATTATAATACTAATAAATATATAAATTAATATTATTATAAAAATTAATTGCTTAGATATTGAAATTTTGATTATTATATCCTGATTGATTTATTTTTTTGTGTAGTTGATTAACAAATAAATTGTTTGGACTTTATTTTAGGCACTTTTACATTTTATATGTGTATGAATAATATAATTAGACTTCTTGAAAAATCGAAATCGTAATTTTTAATATAATAATCGTAATTATATGAATAATATATAAGTCAAAATCGATTAAATTATGATATCAGTAAATCATATCATAAATTACTGAAATTGTGTTTACACGTATAAATTAATTTAATATAATAATAATAATAATATATTTCTAAAAGTCAAAAATCAAAATTGGCTAACCGGAGAATGCAATATCATACCATGTGCACACGTTAACTGATCCAGAGCTTAAATCTCGCTAATACTCCATTTTTTTCCAAGGCAATTTTAAAAAAAAAGAAGGAAAAATAATTAATTTCTCATAGTCTTGCAAGTTTCTGACAATTTGATTATTATAAAAAAACTTGCCTTATTTTAAAATATTTTATAAATAAAAATGTAATAATTATATGACATTTGAGTTGCAGCTATTGATTACAGTTTTAGGTCAACTCTACTAAAGAACTTGCTAATATTTTTTTAAAAAAATACGTTGATAAATTTTACTGGCTGTTTGGTAGAATGTGTTAGTTTTAAAATGATTTAATATTTTATTTGATGATATTTCAACGTCTGTATAACTAATACATATATTGAGTATGTATCTTATTTAATATTATAAGATGTATAATTCATTGTATTAGCAATATCAAAAAAATTGAAAATATACATTGTATTTCATATATTTTCATTCTAATCATTTTCTGAAAATTTGATTATTATAAAGCCACTTACCTTCATTTTCTTCTTAAGTATTTTTGTTAACGAGTCAGATTGAAGGAGAGAAGAAAAGTTAATTGTACCAATTAAAGCAATCTTATTACTGACTTGTTATTAGGACTACTTTTTAATAGAAAAAAAATACTTTTTTCTAACGTGTGAGGAAAATATTGCAGAAAAGCATAGAGGAATTTTTGAAAATAGTTTTTTAATAATTTTGGCAATAATAATAAAACCAAAAAGAGAGGAGTTGAATTAGTTGTGCAGTCGCGTGGAAAACGTATGGGGCCTTGGATTAGTGTAATTTGCACCTAAAATAGATGTGTCCACTTTAACAACTATGGCCCACACATTTCAGATTAACGAGGATCAAACTAACTAATATTTATTGTGAATTTGAATATAATTTTTTTGAACTTAGATATATAAAAAGAGCGAACAGATGGTAGAAAGAAATACTTCCAAACCGTGAAATTGCATACATGATTGTTTTCAGCGAGGTTCTTTTATCAATCTCATGGTTCTTGTTACTTAAAATCGTTAGTAGATTTGGTTGGATGGCAGACATACTATATAAGTTGTAATAGTTAACAATTGAATATATTTAGAAGGTATTTGAAAAAAATTATGATAGACAATATATATTTTTATTATTTAAATAATAAATAAGACGTATAATTAAAACGAATTAAATATTTGGAATATATGTTTTTCCTTGATGAACTTCTCCACCATAGCGTTGCGTGGAATAGTTGAAGTGTTATAAAGCCAAAGGCAGGTGTGAGAGTGATCCTGTCGGTCCCGCCTTTTCTCTATTTGGTTTGTTGTACATATTATGGGCTACTTTCAACTCTAAAATCATTTTCGTTTTACTCTTTACTGCTCTGTTTGGCCCAATTAGGCTGGTTGAACGTAAAAATTAGGTGGGATGACTAGTTTTCGAATTTGTTATGAATTTTTAGTCACAATTTGAAAAATTAGGTGGCACAACGAATTTTTGAACCCCTTGATTCGTTCCTTGGTTTTGAACCACATGAATCAACAGTAATGGCATATTTAGTGAAATTTCATAAGTGAGGTTTGCAGAGATATGATATAAGTAGGCCTTACCAGTTACCTGATACTCCCTCCGTCCACAATTGTTTGTCAGGGTAAGGTCATGCACATCCTTCAAGAAAAATTTAATACAAGGTGTAATTTGACTAATATGACCCTACTATATCTAAAACACCAAAAGTCCACATAACTTTTAAATTGAACTACACAATCATTAAGGGCAGAATTGGAAAAAAGTGACTAATTATTTCTTGATTGTTTAAATTGACAATTAATCTTGGACATCTATTTTTAGTATACCTGCCAAACAATTGTGGACGAAGAGAGTATGAGATTTCTAGAAATAGCAGCAGCCCAGTAGCGGCCTTGATGGGCCTACAGAAACCCAATAGCCAAAATGTCAACCTACCGAGCAGTAGCCCACTTACTGTCTCATTGGGCCTCGTGCTAAATGAATGGGCAACATTAATGCTGACAAATTATTTGGCTATTTACAAAAAATAAGCATGTGATTAAAGCATTTTTTTTTATGAAAAAATTATTCCCTCTGTCCCTTTTTACTTGTTAAATTTTAATTTGACACACCTATTAAGAAAATAATAATTGATGTAGTAAGTTTATCATTTTACCACTGTTAATTGATAGAATCCCAAATATATTACTCACTACATTTTTCAAAGACATTAATTCAATGTTAATAAAATAAATTGTCATCTCTTGATTTTTCAAAAATGACAAGTAAAAGAAGAAATCAAATTAAAAAATATTTAACAGGTAAATAGGAACGAGGGAGTAAATTAGAATGTTCCATTTCCTTTTAATCAAATATTCTGCCCATTTTTCAATAGAAAAAAGAACAAGTGGTTTAATAAATTATTTAATTATCACATCCCTTCCAATAAATGTTGTAAATGCTAAACAAAAAAATATATTTTAAATTCCACAACATTTCAAAAGGTTCTTTAGAGTAAACTGTGAAGAACATTAAATTATTTAACACTTTCCGTTGGATATATCTATTTTCACTACTCATATCTTTTAAAATCAAACACTTACCTCTTATATTATGAAAAAATCTCACACAAATATTTAACTTGAATAATACTTTTGTTTATGTCTTGATATGATCGAAATCTGATTCGCCGTTTAGGTAGAACTGATGTGCAAAGATATTTGGACGCTCTCAATACATATTCTTAAATGTTTGAACAAAATATCTTATAGTTTAGTTAGATTTTTATTTCTATACTGAAGGAGATTTCTAGAAAGAATTTTTTCCCATGTTGTTTTGTACATGATGCTAAAGGAGAAAAATACATATAAAGAAATTCAATTTTTTTTGTTTGATTCTTAAAATTCCAATTACATTGATCGCACAAATTGGAACGGAAAGAGAAAAATCATTTTTTCCTTATACAAAGAGAATATAATTGTTTTTTCTTTAACCTGTTGAAGATTAAGTACGTGTGTTGAAGCATATATCATAATGTTTAAAATTACAATTTATTAATAACTGAGGAATTGGAAGTGTTAATATTCCCTTTTTAAAAAAGTTTATATAATTATAAATTATAAATAAATAGAGTATATTGGGAACTGGGCCAAGAGCACCGACAAAATGTTGAAGAGTTTTTGACGTCAAAGTATATAATATCATTTTCACCAAAAAATAAGAAAAGATTATACAGAGTAGTAGATATGTAATGTGGTAAAGATGCTGTCCAACCACCCCATTCCAAAATCAACTAACTTAACCTAACCTCGGTGGTCGGAGACAGAATCAGAATTTTAATTTTATAAATTTTAAATTTTAAAATAATGATCTCAAGTGATAATAATTAAATTTTAGATTTAATAATTATATATACTTAATAAATTTCTTAAAATATAATTTAAATGAAAAAACTATTAAATTTAATTAAGCTTGTATCTGAACTTCTAGATCCGTACCTGCCAGTGGTGGGACATATCCCATATTATTCCAATTCTAAATTGTGTCTCCTATAAAATAACACTTAAATCAATACCCATTCTGATTTGCATTATTCACCAATCACCATATCGTCCAAACATTGAACAGTATCCACTAGACTATTAATAGTTAGGTTCTACCCATTATAAGCTGTCCAATTATAAGTTCAATATTCATATACCAATGGAGGAATTTCACTTGCACTTCAACCGTGTGATTTAACGGTACTTAATAAAGT